TGGGTTTGGGGCACAGGTGGGAAGGGTTTGGGGCACAGGAGGGCGGATTGGGGCAAGGTGACCCTGGGGGGGTCTGGCACAGAGGATTTGGGGTCGAGGGTGACCCCGGTGACACAGCAGGGCTGGCAGGGCGGGTTTGGGGACACGGGCGCTGGCTTGGCTGGGGCTGGGGAGGGGACAGGGCCGAGGGGCAGGACCTGAGCTCGACATTCCCACCCCGGCGGCTGCGGTGGCACCCGCGGTGCCGCAGGTGAGGGGTCGGGGCTCACCGAGCCCGGCATTCCTGGGAGTTTTTTCTCCCGGGATTTTTTTTTTCCCTGGGATTTTTTTTCCCCCGGGATTTTTTATATATATATATATTTTTTTTCCCCGCCTGGTCGCTCACCGGGCTGGCTCCAGACCCTTCCCCATTCCCGGCTGGAACAGCGGGATGGCAGCCGGGGATGGGGACAGGCCACGCAGCCCCGGTGGCTTCCGGAGAAATCCCGGGTGTCGCCAAGTGGGCGAGGGCTTGGGGACAAGGAGATGGCACCGGGGACCCTCCTGAGGACATCCCGGTGTCCCGGCCAGGGCAGGGGACATCCCGGAGACATCCCAGAGACATCCCAAAGACATCCCGGTGCCCTGACACAGGGCAGGGACATCCCGGGGACATCCTGGGGACATCCCGGGGACATCTCAGGGACACCCCAGGAACGTCCCGGTGCCCTGACACAGGGCAGGGACATCCCGGTGCCATCCCGGTGCCATCCCGGTGTCCCGGGCCCTTTTCCCTGGCAAGGTGGGGAAGGTTCGGAGATGTTTGAGGGTCAGGACGAAGCTCCCTGTCCTCCCCTCTTAGCACCAGAAGAGTTTTTGTGTTTAATGCCTTCCTGGGGGCCTCGGCTTTTGGGACCACCGAGCCCTCCCCTCCCGGCCAGCCGGGCACGCCCTGGCCACCCCCGGCCCAGGGGACAAGCGGGTGGCACTGGGGACAATCCTGGCAAATCCCCGTGGCCACCGCCAGCCCCGGGACCCCCCAAAAATTGGGGACACAACCCTTGGGGACCTCCGTGCTGTGTGCCTGGAAGACTCGGTGTGTCCCAAAACGCAAATTTTGTTTTTTTGTTTTTCTTTTTTTTTTTTTTTTTTTTTTTTTTTTTTTTGTTTTTTTTTTTTTTTTTTTTTTTTTTTTTTTTTTTTTTTTTTTTTTTTTTTTTAGGTTTTTTTTTTTTTTTTTTTTTGGGGGGGGGGGTTTTTTGTTTTTTTTTTTTGTGTGTGTTTAAAAAGACTTTTTCACATTCATTCAGTCGCTTAAAAACTCCCACGGGCGTCCCGGGAGCGTCTCCTCCAGTCCAGAGATAGGAATTATTATTATTATTATTTTTTTTTTTAGGAAAATCCTAACAAAAATCAGGTGGCTATAGCTCTGGAGATATAGATATATAGATATTCTCTCTTTCCAAATATAGAGCTGCTTAAAAAGATGCAAAACGAGGGATGAGCAGGATTTTTTTGGGGGGGGGAAAGGGGGTGTGAGTGTGTGTGGGGGGGAAGGATCCTGTAATTCGTTATCTCGTGGGGCTTATCAGCTGCTCTCTAGATAAATGCACGGAGATTAAATAATTTCCCATCAACGCTTCCCCCTTTTGGAAAAAACAAACAAAAAAAAACCCAAAACAAGACCCCAAGCCCAGAGGAAATCAAACCTTTCCCACCCCCCTCCCCCTCCCCTCAAAACGTTGGCAAAGCGTTTTTTTTTGTTGTTGTTTTTTTGTTTTGTTTTGTTTTGTTTTCTGTTTTTTGTGGGTTTTTTTTGCTGCGGGAATTTGTCCCCCCCACCCCCCCAGCCTCCCGACATTCCCAAACATGCTTCGATCCATGCGCTCCTCGCTCCCTCCTCTCACCCAGCAGCTCAGAGTCCGGGGGGGTCCGGCTGGCGGGGGGGCTCTTCTGGCACGGCCTGGCACGGCCTGGCACGGCTCGGGGTGGCACGGCCGCTGCTGGAGCCTTCCCGGCCTTTCCTTCTTCCTCTTTTTTTTTTTTTTTTCTTTCCTCCTTTTCTCCTTCTTCCCTTCTTTCTTTTTTTTTTTTTCCTTTCTTTCCTTCCTTCCTTTCTCCGGGAGCACCGCCGGGATGGCCCCGCTGGAGCCGCCGCCTCCGAGCCCTGCGGGGACACCTGGGGGACACCTGGGGGACACCTGGGGGACACCTGGGGGACACCTGGGGGCACCTCCTGGCAGGGACACCTGGGAGGGGGGGGACACCTGGGGCCACCTCCTGGCAGGGACAGGACCTGGGGCCACCTCTGTCCCCGCCAGGGACACTTGGATGGGTTCAGGACCTCGGGGTCACCTCCCGGCAGGGACAGTTCAGACCCTGCCGGGGACACCTGGGAGGGAGGGGGCGGGACCTTGGGTCACCTGTGACCCTGCCGGGGACACCTGGAGGGGTTCAGGACATCGGGGCCACCTCCTGCCAGGGACACTTGGATGGGTTCAGGACCTTGGGGCCACCTCCAAGCCTGGCAGGGACAACTGTGACCCTGCCATGGACACCTGGAGGGGTGTCAGGACCTGAGGCCACCTCCCGGCAGGGACACTTGGATGGGTTCAGGACATTGGGGCCACCTCTGACCCTGCCAGGGACACCCGGAGGGGTGTCAGGACCTGAGGCCACCTCCCGGCAGGGACACCTGGGACTTGTGAAGATTTTGGGCCACCTCTGAGCCCGGCAGGGCCACCCGGGAGGTGCCACCTCCTGCTCTCGCCACGCCGCCAGCGGCTGGGGCAGTTCGGGGGGGGGGGGGGGGACTCCGCGTCCCTGCCTGTCCCCCGAGGTGCCACCACCGCGGCGCGTCCCTGCCTGTCCCCGCGGCCAGCCCCGGCCCGGTGCCACCCCCGGGGCAGGGCACACGGAGCGATTTACAGGCCGGACTCTCTGTGAAAAACGGGAACGAGGAGGAATTTCATGCAACATTCCTGGTCCGGAGGCGGCGCGGGGGGCGGGAGCGGGCGGGAGCCTTTTTGGGGAGGTGGGTGGGGTCGGCGTTGTTGGGGTGGGGGCTCCACACCCTCAGTGCAGTGCTCGGAGGAGGAGAAGGAGAATCCGAGTGGGTTTTCTTGGCTTGGGAATAACGCCCCGCCCTTCCCACGGCGGCTCCGGGCGCGGTCAGCTGTCCACCAGCTGCTTGAGCGCCCGCTCGATGTTCATGCGGTGCCCCACGCGGGTCACCCCCAACTCCACGAAGTCCTCCTTGGTCAGGGCGGGCAGGTGCGTGCCCTCGATCTCGTGGTCCTCGAACTTATCCCGGTGCTCCACCAGGTTGATGCTCTCCAGCCAGTCCCCCACGTCGTACTTGTTCCACAGGTGCAGCGGCTTCTGCATGAAGGGCCTGGGCGGGTGCAGCGTGTGCAGCGCTGGCGACGGCGACGGCGACGGCGACGGCGAGCGGCTGCGGGCGCTGACGCTGCGGACCACGAAGCGAACTTCCTTGGGTTCGTGGGGGATGGAGAGGCTGGAGGATTTGAGGATGGTGGGGGGCGTGAGGCCGTAGGGCCGGACGGTGCTGAGGGGCTCGGGCCGCTCCAGCGCCGCGGGTTTGACGGGGCTGGGAGTGCGGCGGGTGACGGGGTAGCGGCTGCCGGGCCGCACGGTGAACGTGGTGCCGGAGCTGCGCTGGGAAATGGTGCTGAGCTCGCCTAAACTACTGAAAAGTCTGCGGAGAGAGCGGGAGAACGGGAGGAGAAAAGAGAGAGAGAGAGAGAGAGAGAGAGAGGAGAGGGAAGGGGTGAGGCCAGGTTTGGGAATGGGGGACACCAATCCAGCGTGGAGGGTTTGGGGTTGGGAGAATTTGGGACGCGGCTCGGGTGGGAGATCCCCGAGGAGGGGGATGTCCCGAAAGGTTCCGGCAGTGCTGCCAAGGGTGGGGATTCCCGGCCTGTCCTGCCCTCCTGGCACGGCTCTGTGTCCCCCCCAAAATGTCCCCAGCCCTGGGGACAAGGACCCTGCGCCTCGTCCTGCCCCGTCCCCCTCCCCTCCCCGCACCCCCAGTGGGGAAAAGTTGGGATGAGAGGGAAAATAAGGAAACCTTCCGGCGTTTTCCGGGGATGGGGGGAACCTCTGGTGGCGGTCCCCTGGTGGCCAGGGGTGGCCGGGCCGGTGTCCCCTTGGCACTGGGGGACCCCCTGGCTGTGCCACCGTGGGAATCTTGGATGGGGACGCGGCTCCTGCCGCCGGCGCTGTCCCCTCGGCATTGTCCCCATCCCGCCATTGTCCCCATGGAATGGGCAGGAATGGGAAAGGAAACGGAGCTGACACCCGGATGAATCCCAGGAAATCAGAGTCCTCCGCTCTGGAGAGGATGGGAAAACTGGGAACGTTCTCCTGGAGAAGGGAAGGATCCAGGGAGAGCTTCCAGCACATTCCAGGGCCTGAAGGGGCTCCAGGAGAGCTGGAATTTGGGAAAGGCGTGGAGGGACAGGACAGGGAATGGCTTCCCAAGGGGAGATTGGGGTGGGAATTTGGGAAGGAATTCCTGACTGGGTTGGAATTCCCAGAGCAGCTGTGGCTGCCCCTGGATCCCTGGAATGTCCAAGGGAAGGTTGGAGCAGCCTGGGACAGTGGGAAGTGTCCTTGGATGGGTCTTGAGGTCCCTCCCATCCCATCCCAATTCCCTTGTCCTCAGAACTATCCCATAAAATTCCTGCATCCCGGTGCCTCAGTTTCCCTGCCCCTCCCCTGCTCGGGCTCCCATCTCAGCTCCCTCCTGGAAAACTGGGACATTCTGGAATGCTGCTGGGATCCAGCACTGCCTCCTGGTTTTGGGAATGTTGAGGAGCTCCAAGGATCCCATAAATCCATGGGATGAGCTGGACTTGGCTGAAAATCCGCAGGATGAGCCGCGTTCCTGATAATTCCCATTTCTGAGCCACGCTCCCGATAATTCCCGTTTTTCTGCTTCCCTGGCACAGCAGAGCAAGAGTCACCTTCGGAAAAAAGCCCGATGTCCTTGAGGAATGAGACACGGAACGGGAATTGCGGGCACGCGGCCGCACCCCACCCGGACCTGGGATCTGCGAGAGAAATTTCTGGATCTGCTGGAAAACTCCGGGAGAAGCAGCTGGGAAGGATCCAGGTGTGTTCCTGGGGATGCGCCGCTGGGGCTGAATTCCCGTTTGGAATTCCCGGCCTCCCGTTTTTCCCGCACGGAGCCCCAGCTGGATCCCCTCCCTGCCCTGCATTCCCGGATTCTCCCTCTCCAGCCAGGAATCCCCAACCCCGGCTCCAACGTCTCCGGATCCGAGCTGATTCCTTAGGGACCATCCCACATCTTGGGCTGCTGCTCTCAGGGAGCTTTTCCAGGATTTTAGGGATCATCCGTTTTTCCTCGAGGCAATCCCGAATCCATGCCAGCTCCGTTTCCCATTCCAGGGCTCTTTTCCAGGCAGCTCCAGGGGCGGCATTCCCGCTGCTCCAGGTTTCTCCAGGAGCTGGGATGGGGCAGCTCCTCCAGCGGGTTTTGATCCCACAAATCCCTCTTGGGGCAGCTCCCGAGCCCGGATTATTTGGGATTATTTGGATCCTTCCTGGAATCGCTGGGATCATTCCTGGAATTATTGGGATCGTTCTTGGGATTATTTGGATTGTTCCTGGGATCACTGGGATCATTCCTGGATTGTTTGGATAGTTGCTGGGATAATTTCTAGGATGACTCCTGGGATTGCTGGAATAATTTCTGGGATTATTTGGATCGTTTCTGGGATCACTGGGATGGCTGGGATTGCTCCTGGGATTCCTGGGATCGTTCCTGGGATTGCTGGGATGATTCCTGGGATCAGCGAGATAATTTCCAGGATCACTGGGATCATTTCTGCGATAGCTGGGTTTGTTCCTGGGATTATTGAGATCATTCCTGGGATCACTGGGATCGTTCCCTGGGATTGCTGGAATAATTCCTGGGATTATTGGGATCTTTCCCTGTTCCTTGGTGAGGTTTCTCTGAGGTTTCTGTGCTGCTGCTCCAGCGTTCCATGTTCAAATCCTCGGGATTGTCTCGGGTGATTCCCATGGCTGGGACCACACCCCCCTTCCTCCGGCCTCGGTTTGGGCCTTTTCCCAACTTTCCTATGGATCTTCCTGACATCCCTGTGGATCTTCCTCCAAATCTTCTCCCAGCCCTCCTGTGGACGTTTTCCCAACCTTCCCGTGGACATTCTCCTGCCTTTCTCATGGATCTTCCCCTCACCCCCTACAGATTTTCTCTGCCCTTCCCGTGGATTTTTCCAGCCTTCCCAAGGATGTTTTTCCAGCCTTCCCGAGAATCCTCTGAGATCTTCCTTCCAATGGATCCTATGGATCTTCCTTCCTTTCTATGGACCTTCCTCAAATGCTGAGCCCAAACATAATCCTAACCCTGATCCTAACCCCAATCCCAAGCCTAATCCTAGCCCTGTTCCCAACCCAGATCCTGACCGTGATCCTAATCCTGATTTTAATCCTGAACCTAAACCTGACCCTAACTTTGACTCAAAATTAATCTTAACCCTGATCCTAATTTTGATTGTGGTCCTAACCCTAAACCTGACCTTAATTTTAACCCTGATCCTAAACTGGACCATAATCCCAATCCCAATCCTACCCCTGCCCCTGGCTTTTCCTGGGAATCAGACAGGGATTCTGGGGGCTGGGCTGGGATTTGGGGCAGGGATCAAACATTGTCTGAAGTTTTCCTGGTCCCGGTCACTCCGGTGGATGGGACACGGCCACCCCAAAGGATCCGGGATCGGGGCTGGCAGCAGGACACAGAATTCCCACTGTCCTGAACCCGGCAGCTGTGGGATGGGCCCCGGGAGGAACTTTGGGATTAGCCCTGGGAGGAATCTCGGGGTGAATTTTGGGATTAGCCCTGGGAGGAATCTCGGGGTGAATTTTGGGATTAGCCCTGGGAGGAATCTCGGGGTGAATTTTGGGATTAGCCCTGGAAGAACCTCGGGGTGAACTTTGGGAAGAACCTAGGGATTATCCTTGGGAGGAACTTTGGGATGAGGCCAGGAAAGAGCCTTTGGAACAAACTTTGGGATGAGCCCTGGGATGAGCTCAGGAAAGAGCCCTGGGAAGAACTTTGGGAAGGACCTCGAGAGGACCCCTGGGATGAGCCCAGGGATGAACCTTGGGATTAACCCTGGGATGAGCCCAGGGAGGAACCTCGGGATGATCCACAGGATGATCCAGGCGCCCCCAGTGCCAACACAGGGGACGGAGACCCCCTGGTGTCCCCCAGATATCCCAAATTTCCGTGACACCAGTGCCAGGACTGAGGGAATGAATCCACGGCTGGATCCAACGGGATGAGCCCCCCACGGCCGAGAAGAGCCTCGGGAATGGCCCCGTTCCGGGTGTTCCCGGAAAATCCGGAGCATCCCACGCCTCCGCCCCAGCCGGGAGCAGAGCAAATCCCCGGGAATGGCATCCAGCAGCCGTCGGGAAAGCGGGAACGCGGCCCCCGGCATTCCCGGAGCGTCGGGATCCGGCGCTGCTCTCCCGGGGCGGGGCCGCGGCCTCGGCCTCGGGAATTCAGCGCTTGGCAGAAAAGGACAAGGAAAAATCACCCGGGAACGGCTCCGGGAGCTGGGACACGGAACGGGACACGAGGACGGGACACGGGGACAACACGGAGGAAGCACAACCAGGAGCACGGCCATGCACGCTGGGAAATTCCCAAGGGGAATTGGAGATTCCCATGGATCCCAATCCCCCACCCTAATCCCATGGATTTCCCCTTCCAGCCCAAGGGAGCTGGAGTGGGAATGGCTTTTCCCGGGATCCCGCTGCTGTCCCAGCCTGGGGGCCCCTCCCAGCTCAGGAAGGGATTCCAGAAGCTCTGGAAGCCACTGGGATATCCTGGAATCATTGCTGGGGGAATCCCTGGATCCCGATTTTCCTGCTGTGGCCTCAGGTGACTTCCCTGGGGGACTGGGATGGAGCAGGATCCCAGGAGCTCCCACCTCTGTCTCACGGAATTTTTACTCCAGAGGGAGACCTGGGATTCCCCCCGGCCTGGGCAATCACGGATGGATCCTGGTGCATCCATGGTTTGCCGGGATGGGAATGGGGATGTTCCACCCCCCTCCCCAGTGTCCTTCCCAGGGTCTTCTCCACCATTCCTGGGCTCATTTCCCATCCCTCCTGGAATCCTTTCCCACTAACTGGGATCTTTCCCATCCTTCCTGAAGTCCCTCCCACCCTTCCTAAGGTCTCTCCACCATTCCTGGTGTCCTTCCTTATCCTTCCTGTGGTCTTCCCCACCTATATGGGGATCCTTTCCGGCTTCCTGGGGCCTTTCCCACTTTTCCTAAGGTCCTTTCCCACTTCCTGGGATCTCTCTCACATTTCCTGGGATCTTTTCCCACTTCCTGGTGTCTTTCCCCTTTCCTGGAATCCTTTCCCACTTCCCAGTGTCTTTCCCACCCTTCCCGGGACCTTTTCCATCCTTCTGGGGTCTCTCCCACCTTTCTTGGAATCTCTCCCACCCTTCCTGGGACCTGTCCCACCTTTCCTGGGACTCTTCCCGGATCTCTCCCACCTCCCCATCCCAATCCCCCCCCCTTCCCCGGGGGATCCCGACGGGAATTTCCTCAGCGGGAACACCTCAGCGGGAAGAGCCGGACACGCCACCACAGCACAGGGACAGGGCCATGCTCCCGAAGGGACACACGC